CACACGGCCAGAAAGCATCGCATCGAGAACCCATTCCTCCCAACATCTAAGAGCTATCGACCCCCATAGAGACACGCTCAAATAAATTACATCACACTGTCTAAATAACTTGAATCAAACCAAATCATCTGACTTTGAATGTTAGAAAGCACAAATCAAACTCTGTGGCTCTCAGTGACTGACCCCCCCCCCCCAGGCAGGACTCAGCTTTGAATATTACAGACACAGTGGACATGGAGAGATGGGTAATTTTTGCAAGACACAGAAGTTGGTATTCGTATTATGTGCATAGAAACATGGAGGTATTCTGATATCTGCAGCAACAGAGAGCTAAAGGGAGGAAGCCTCAGGATCTTCCTGGTTCTAATCCCTTAACCTGAACGTTCATCCGGACTAACTGCTGTAGAACGAGGAAACCTTCACGGCATCTATGGGAGTATTTGTTTGTAGTTATGCGGACAGGTGCATAGAGGGACGAGGACAAACTCACCGTCCTCTGTATGTATGGAAGACTGCAGCACCAGAAAACACACTCATGGCTCTACGTATGACGACATTATGGTTGAACCTGAATCATTCATCAGTTCCACTTCAGATTGTCAGCCTGAAGATATCTCGATATCTCGTTTGTAACAGTTCAGCTGCAGAGAGAACACCTTGGTGAGGGTGCGTTCGTGAATTATTGCGTCTACTCCAGAATAAAACACCTACAGACGAAGCAGATACTCCAGAGTCGCTCCGATACCAGCATCAGAACTTCCTCTGATAGCACCGCGATAATGGCGAGTTCGCATGTCTGTGCACCGATCCGATATCACATAACATTACCCCCCCCCCTCGCTCCGGCAGAGACCAGTAAAAACATCATTCACAGATTCTCTCTCCGACTGAAACAAAGCAGGAAGCCAGGTCAGTGTTCATCCGAGTCTTTGGGAAATATTTATTATTCATCACTGCGGTCTCTCTGAAGTTCAGGATAGAGAGACAATATCACAGAGTCTTCCGTTGTCCTCCAGGACGTCGATGTGACGTCAACTTGCCTGATTAACTGATGCTTTAAAAGAGAGGGGGGGGGGGACAAAGTCCTGGTTGAGGTTCACATTGTGAGCGGAGGAGTTTCCAGTCCCTCGGTCAGGAGAACCAACGGTCGCTGAGAGCCTGGAGGATCTGAACGTCATCATCGGACTGCTCCGGGTAGTCTGCAGCACGAGGACACACACACACACACACACACACACACACACACACACACACACACACACACACACACACACACACACACACACACACACACACACACACACAGACACACATTATACTGCGTGTACTCTCAACTACTTACTCTGTTAGATACGTTGAAAAAGCTGATTTGAAACTGAAGAGAAAAGGCCACTGAGGTTTGTATTTGTAATGTAATGTACAGGACAGGAGGTGGAGTTAACTAATAATTCACCGTCAGATCAATAAATCATAGCTGCAGGCGTTACAGTGACCTTAAAGGATCACTGAACCTGAATATTAATATATATTATGGTATAATTAACCCGATGAGTCAACCGACCACCGTTACTTACAATTTGAGTTGTCGGGGTCAAAATCAGATCCGTCGTCGCTTCCGTCCGAGTCTTCCGATTCGTCATCATCGTCGTCGTCGCTGTTGTCGTCGTCGCTGTTGCTGCCGAGAAGATCTGCGATCTGGAGGAAGGAGTGACAGAAAACGTCACAGGAAATCTCCTCACAGCGAAAAGGAGACCCCCAGTGAGACACACTGGGACGAGGGACTGCTGCTCTGTCATCTTTCTGTTTCCACATTTTTACCTCCTTCCAGAAAGCACAGATCCACATCAAAGACCTGATCTGCTTTTTGGTTCCTTCAGTCTTTCTTTCACATTATGAATCTAAAAACCTGATATTGTCCCACTGACTCGATAAAGTAAAAAGTCTTGTTCTGCATTAGAAAAGTAATCTGGTTTTAAGAAAATATAGTGACCTTTGTCTTAATAAGATCTTACAACTGATACTGAACAACAATGGTTGCATAATATCCCAGCAGAGGAACCAGATTACTGTCATTATTTTAGGAGTAAGAGCAAAACTTCTCAGTCTGGTCCCAGTGTTGGAAATGAAGTGTTTCGTTTTTCATTGTTTTAATAAAAAATGATCAAACTAAAAATGCTTCTGGTGCATTCATTTAAGACAAAGTCTGCCGTTTGAAGACATTTTGTCTCATTGGAAGATAATTATTAATCAAATCTAATAAAAAAGGTACAAATTCTTAAATTCAGCTCAATGAAAAAAAAGAAAAAAGACAACAAATCTTTGGCACTGTTTCTACCCATTACAGTGGTTCAGTGGCTGGTTTATAAGCGAGTTTGAAGAATTCTAATATATATATATAAATAATATTGGTTTTACCCCACTGATTATATTTACACATATATACTTGAGGCACTTCTCTGTGTAGTTGACCGTATATCAACACGAGATCTCACAAAAGCAAACAGGTTTACTGAATCCGTCCAAAAGCATTTAGCCATTTATGATTTTCTCTACGTCAGATTGGTCGCAGCATTTCAACCTGACACATCTGCTGTTTTCTGATGGAATAAAAACAGGAAATTATATTTATATCTTATAAACCAACTGACTGGTGACTGGATGACTAGTACAGTGTGCACTGTAAAGAGAGATTCCAACCAACGGCTGATCTCAGGAAATCAGTTGAAACCGAATAAACTAATATTTAAAATGTTGAGACTTAAAAACATGAGCTACCTCTTCGTCCGTAGGAGAGTTGGTCCCGTCCTCGTTTTCCTGGTCGTCGTTATTGGCCAGTTCCTCAATGAGCGGGTCCGTGTCCATATCGTCGTCATCATCGTCGTCGTCGTCGTCATCGTCGGAGTCCGAGGAATCATCATCGTCCTGGTCTTCATCCTGGAAGAGCACAGAATGCATTAAAAACATCGAGTCGTCATTATCCTGACGTTCATGCATCCTTACAGCGACGAGGACGAGTCTCGAACTGACGGGATTTATTTTAACACTAAGCATCTTCAATCTTTGAAACAATTAAAATAAAACGCTCAGCAATGTGAAGGTGTGTGTTCAGCTGTGTGTGTCTCACCTGATCGTCGTCGTCTCCCTCTTCTGCCAGTTTCTGTCGTCCCACCTCGTACAGACGACACACCGTATCGAGGCTCACCGTGTCCTGGTTCTACAGAGCAGATAAAGCACAAACAGTGTGGGTGTATCTGCGCTTTAACATGCTTCCAATAAGGTTTTATATTTTTATCTGTTAAAATAAAACCAGACAACAAAAACAACACAAACAAACCTGGTTAAACAATTCGAGTAATTATAAATATGAGAGGATTGCCTTTCAAGGATTGACAGAAAATAAATCAACAAATATTCTGATAATTGATCATTTCAGTCATTGTGATTTCATAATCCAAAGAGCAAACATTCCCTACTTCCAGCTTCCCCACTGTAACAATGTGCTGCTTTTCTCATCATAAACTAGATCTTTTGTTGTTATTTATTTGTTGTTCTTAACTATTTTCTGACAAAAAAGACAACAGGAAATCAATTGTGGGATGTAACAATACAACATCAGACTTTAAAAAGAATGATTTACCAAATACAGTTCAGTTCTCTGCCAATGAGCAGAACGACACAGACGCTCTGCCTCTCTTCCTTCAAGGCATCAGAACACGCCCGAGACAACATGAACAGAGTGCGGCTGAAATTCAAGCACTGTACCTCAATGACAGCCAGGTAGCAGTCTTTGGTGTCGGTGCACAGGTCGAAGATGTTCCTCTTCACGTCCACGGTGGCTGAAACAAAACCAAGAGTCTGAGTTACAAACCAAAGTGAAGGACTGATATTATAATATATCCACGGGAACCTCTGCAACTACGCCCAATGAGCTTCGAGTCTGCAACCAACAGGAAGTGCAGCCTACCGATGGGTTTGTAGTCCGTAGCGTCGAAGGTTCTGAAGGACGAGCCGAAGGGACTCTTCATCTGCTGGTCCATAGCGTCATCCTCATCGTCGGCCTGCAGCATTGCTGTTCATACGCGCGTGTGTGTGTGTGTGGGGGGGGGGCAGACCAGAACATGTGACTCACTGTGTAAATTAAGTCCATTACAGAGTCTGTCATTCACACACACACACACACACACACACACACACACACACACACACACACACACACACACACACACACACACACACACACACACACACACACACAGACAGACAATAGAAAGCCCGTACCTCCATACATGATGGTGGCGTTGCTGTTGAAGACCAGCCTGCACTGGTCCAGGGCAGGGACTGTGTGTAGGAGGTGGAAGGTCCTCAGGTCCCACTGAAACCGGCTGTCAAGGCTGACTAACTGCAGCTGGCCACGCTCGTACACCTCTTCAGACTTACTGACTGTTAAAAACTGTAATTAACCATCTGATTATCCACATTTAGATTTCAGATGCTCAGAGGATACAATCTCCGTGTTGACGATGACCTCGAGGCCGTTGGGATGGAAAACGCCGCTGATGTTCATGTTGAACTTGTCGAACTTATGAATGGCCTGCGACGCCCGCACGTCCCACAGCACCCCGTCGTTCAGCACCAGGTCGTCGGTGGGGTTGAAGGTGGCGCAGTTCCTCTTGTAGTTATTGGCCAGGGCGGGGTCGTTCAGGGTCAGAGTCTTCTGACCCGTCTGGATGTCGTAGATCTGGAAATACGAAAAACATATTTAAAAGAGAGGAACTTAAATGTTGAATGAGAGTGTTGGGGCGATTTGTCCTTATTTGCCTGCATGCATTAAAAATAAGAGGAAATTAGTAAAATACTAATTAGAAATAAACAAGGAAGAGATGAAAGGTTACAGAGGACGTCCACAGGAGGACGGTGAACTGAAGAAAAAGGGACGTTCAGCAGCAGCGAGTCGTAACGTACGTGTGCGACTTGATCCTTGGTGCCGATGACTCTGTCCTGAGAGAGTTTACTGAACTCGACGTAGTGGTCGTCGACAAATGAGTTCCTGAGAGAGAAAGCAAACACTTCATCGTGAGAAACAGTCGACTGAAAAAGGTACGTAAAGTTAAAACTGTGAGTGTGTGTGTGTGAGAGTTTTACTTCATGCTAAAGACGCTGTCCATACTCCAGAGAGCAGACAACGGGACGCTCCATGAGGCTGAGGTGAGCAGCAGTTTCCCATCCTGAGAAACAAATACAACTTTTAATGAGTTCATTTTTATACTTTTACAAAATTATTGCAAATAATAATTATATTCTAGATCAATTAACCATATGGTCAGAAAACAAGGTGACAAAAGTGTAATTTTTTCTGGCTTTTTTAGACCTTTATTTTATACATTCTATTCTAACAGTGTGTGTGTGAGTGTGTGTGTGTGTGTGTGTGTGTGTGTGTGTGTGTGTGTGTGTGTGTGTGCACAAACGCACCCTGGCAGGTTCGAGGTGTGTGATGGCCGACGTGTGGCAGGTGTAGTTGGCCACCTCCTCTCCAGAGTACACGTTGTAGAACTTGAGGTGACCCGAGCAGGTTCCCAGCATCAGGAAACGCTCGCGGGCTGAAAAGGCACAACAGGTGAAACCGCTCTCGTCTCCGTCGCCCTCGTGGAAGACCGTCATCGGACGAAACCTGAACGGAGATTTTAGAAAGAGAAAAAAGGCCTCAGATTCTTTCACTCCGCCAGGTGAATGCAGCCCTCAGTGTCCGTTCATTACCTGCTGAATATGAGATGTCGATCCAGACACCCTCTGTCCACGCCTCCGTATTTCGGGTACAGCACTCTGCTCCCCAGGCGGGCGGTGAAGTTGGGCGATGCCTGTCGCCTCTGCTTTGGCTCAGGGCAGCGGTGAGGGGTGAAAAGGGAAAAGGGGGGACAGGTGGTGACGGGATTGGGGCAGCGGGCGTGTTGTTCCCTCAGGTACTCGGTGATGATGCTGTCGAGGGTCGGCGGGGAAGGAAGGTGGCGCTCCAGCTGCTTCTTCATGGCTGGAGTCTGAGGAAGAGAGAAACAAGGGTCAGGAGCTGATCCCGAGTCTGAGATAAACTACACTCCTCTCCCTGTGTCCGTGTATGACTGACCTGTATGAAAGCACCGTGGTCAGACTTCTGCTTCAGTGCACGAAGCTTCTTCCCTGAGCTGCAATGGGCGACCGGGCGTTCCCGTGTGAACAAAATCCGTCCGACCAGAGGCGAGCCCTGCACGTGAGGTCCGAGATGAGGAGGAGGAGGAAGAGGAGGAGGAGTGGGGAGGACAGGGGTAGACGAAGAAGAGCACGAAGGGTGAGGAACGCTGTGTGAACGAGCTGAAGAGGGAGTGGTGGAGGAGGCTACGGCCACTGAGGAGACGGGAGAGGATCCAACGTGGCCGGCTAACCGAGCCGCGATCCCGCCAGCTAACCGGCAAGTCCTGGGGATCATTGAGGAGGAGGGGGGAGGGGTGACGCAGGAGGAAGAGTTCGGACAGTGGGTTCCGGTGGGTAAATTCGCCTCTTTGACGAGCGTGTTCGCCGTGTCGTGGAGCCCCTTGGCCACGAGGTGGTTTCTGATCAGCATGAGGAGTTCCTTCTCAGAGAAGGTGATCCGGGACTGGGCGACCACGTTGGCCCTCTGCAGGCGAGCCAGTGAGACGTCGGAGCCCATGAGCAGAGGCTTCCCCGACACTCGCTCCGTCAGCTCGGCGGCGTACCGGCAGAAACGGACATGCTCGCTTCGTTTGTCCTGCAGCACCGGCTCTTTCATTAGCTAGGGCGGTGGAAAGAACAGCACATTAACAGAGGTTGAATTTCTTCATGTGGGTGAAATCAAATATGAGAACAAACTGGAAATCAGGAAACACAAACCTCTAACATGGTTGTATAATCCTACAAATTTGTTTCTTAATTTAAAAGTATAGTAGTAACTAAAGTAACTTTTTTATCTGCATTCATTCTGGAGTGACAGATTTGATCTGAATCTGCCCAAACAGTGTTTTTCTCCCAGATAAGCTCTGGTTCGTGAACCGGTTCAGTTGCTATCTAGAGAACCAGCCCACATTTCCACCAGTTTTTATCAGAACCACTGTGATCGAGGAACAACCTATAGAATAAGACAGTTTGACACTTAAGGTCAAGAAACGTGCTATTTTTGGTTACAGCTGGGAACTTTAACAATTCATACACATATTTAAACAATTTATATTTGGTCAAATGCTGAGATTGGTTAAAAATAAAGTGCACAAACTGGGACAGAGCTCGTCCATTCTTGGTGGAAAATGAGTCCACACTTTGGTTTGAGTGCAGCTCTAGCATCACTAAAAAGTCATCACTTGTTCTTCAGCCTTTGTTGGATTTTGTACCATGTGTTAATCACACAGTATCTGACGTCAGAGCTCTGAACTTGTGCTGACCTGTTGAATGTGGCTGCTGGTGAAGAGCGGCAGTTTGCTGATGATCTGTCTGATCGCCGAGCTGCGAGAGAGTCCGACCAGAGCCTTGCAGGCCAGAGAACGGATCAGATCTGCATCTGTGATCGGCATCTTCACCGACAGCAGAGACAGAAGCACCTGGAGAGACAGAGGTTATTTTCTCTTTGCTTTATGTATCTTCATGTACGGTAATAAAGAATCCAACATAAACCCGTGTTAACTTTCATTCTTACCTTTATACCATTGTTGTTCTGCACCATTTGCCACATGTGGGCCAGCACTCTGTTGTGGGGAGCGGGGGGCTGCTGGGGGTGGAGGGACGGCCTAAGGGGGGCGACAGCAAAAGCACCCACAGTGTTCAGGCTCTGGTCTGGAGCGCACACACAGTTTGTTATCACCTGGGTGGGACAGAGGAGAAAGAGGGTTGGCAGACAAACAAACAAACCCAGAAAGAACACAAACTGACAACACGCTGCGTTCCTCTTCCACAGCTTCATCTGATATTATATTGCTTCTGTTGCATTTAGTTTAATACAACCCCCCCACTGCTTACTTGTAGTGCAGACTTCTGGATCTCAGCATCATTGACAAACACTTCGCCCTCTGCGACACCCAGAATGATGCTCATACCTGCAGCAGATACAAGAGACACGTTGACACACGTCCACACAGAGAGAGAGAGAGAGAGAGAGAGAGAGAGAGAGAGAGAGAGAGAGAGAGAGAGAGAGAGAGAGAGAGAGAGAGATCCAAAGGCTGAAAGTTCACAGTCAAACAGAACCGAAAGAGAAAACTGAGTTGTACTGACCCACAGTGGAAACAGGAGATCTGGTTTCATCCAGAACCTCGACAGTGTCTGCCAGCACCAACTGGACTTTAGGAACCACCATCAGGATCGCCAGGATGTCCAATGCATAACGCACAGTGTCGCTCCTGGACGGACAGACAGACACAAAGAGCTGCAGCTGAATGTCGCAAATGTGTCACTATACGAGGAAGCTGTCATACACAGACTGTTTATCCAGTCTGAAGTCACATTGTTACCATCCACTGTTTAGATCTTGGTGCTTTTTAACTCTAGATTTTAGCCATCGGATGTCTGGATCTTAAGTTATCAGAGAAACAAGCTGAGCTAACGTCAGCAGCAGCTCGGCTCGATCTAAGTAAACTTTGATGCCAATTCTTTTGAGTATTTCTACACTATTGTTTATTTTACTAAAGTAAAGGATCGTCCTCCACTGATGGCGTACTTGTGTGTGTAACTTTACCTGCCATAGTAAGTCCTCCAGTCACAGGCTGTAGATATGAGCTGCAGCATTAAAGGGACGCAGGACAACTTGTAGAAGACCTCCACCGGTTCCCAGTGGAGCTGAGGAGGTCCGCACTCGATGAGAAACTCCATCATCTCAATAACCTGCTCCCTGGTGTACGTGTATGCCTGGAAACAGCAGGTATATATTAAAGAAGAGGAACACAGCGTCTTCTTCATAGTTTTTCTTTTAATATTTCTGTCCAAACACGCTGATGATAAATAAAGAAAGCACCTTGTAAAATGGCTGCTGGGGAACGACGGTGCCGCCGTCTGACGAGTGCAGAGACTGTTTGACCTGTTCAGCCTTTACTGCGAGGTGAGCCTCAAAGAACCTGAACAAAGTCATCAGTTATCAGTCAGAGTATTTAATACACCTGGAATAACACACAAACACACACACACACACAAACACAGACACACACACACACACAGTAACGTGCTGTATGTATGACATCTTCTTCCAATGAGGAGAAAGCACTTTTTAGACAACCAATTATATATTACATAGGTAACTTGTCACCATGGTAACCAAGAAAACTGAAGAGAAGCTTGTTCAAGCCGCGTTTGTCTATCCTGAGCTTTATGATATGTCAGACAGAAACCAGTTCTCTTCCACATGTTGCTGTCATTTTTGGTCGCTTCTAACACACACACACACACACAAACACACACACACACACACACACACACACACACGAACCGGGTAAAATGAAGGGTAAGCTGACAACAACTCGAGAAAAAACGTAAAAAAAAAGTAGAAAAGTGATATTTTCCATTTGCACAACCACAGCACATTGTTAGAAACTGCCAAGATGTGCAGTGTTTCTGTGCTGTCTGTGCACTGCCAGCGTAAAAAACACTATGTGGACACAAAACTCGACTACAGATATCAGTCTTTACACTTTGTTCGACATTTAAAAGTAAAGTTACTGCTGCTGAATTTAACTATATACAACTTTTTTTTAAAAGCGTGGCGATAAGAAATAAGAAGGAAAACTGGGACACTGGCCTCTTCATACACATTGGTACACTTCTACCCATCTATCTATCTACTGTACCTGCGTAGGGCCATGCAGGTGTGTTTGGCTGTCTGTCGGCTGGAGAACACCTGGTCGTCACTCATTATGGACACCTCACTGTCTGTGTTGAGGATCCCCAAAGTACTGATCTACAGGGAGAGAAGGAGGCATCAAAAGGTTTCCAATGAAGAAACGCACCGCAATTCATTCAACAACGATCTATTAAAAAATGCTCCACATTTAAAGCATTTAAAGATTCAGTCCTGACCAAGTTGACGAGCCTGCGGAGACCGTCCTGGTGGTCGAAGAGCTGCAGCACCGCTCTGAACGAGAAAGAAATGGAGAAGAACATGGTGGCGTGGCAGACGCCTGAAGCGTGGGACGACTCCAACAGCCACAGAGCGTAGGACACCATGTCTGACAGCACGCCGTCTGCGAGCGTACACACCTACAAACACACACACACGGACACACACACACACACACACACACACACACACACACACACACACACACACACACACACACACACACACACACACACACACACACACACAGAGTAGAGATAAAGAACAGCACACAAGTTCCCCACAGGTTGAATTTAATTCAGTAAAAACAAGATAAGTCTAAGACTAAGACTAAGTGTTGTAACAAGAAAACATTAGCAGCTAAAATAGCCTCAATCTCTGTTTGAGGGTCTAATACTCAAATTAACTGTGTGTGTGTGTGTGTGTGTGTGTGTGTGTGTGTGTGTGTGTTAACTGTACCCTCTCCATGGCATCTTGATTGTACGCCAGGTAGTACAAGCACAGTGAAACTCCAGTCGCCGCCATCGACGGCCTCGGGATCTCCAGAAGTTTCTGCACTCCTCCGTGAGCGATGAACTCCGCTGCAAACTTCTTATGGAGGAGGAGGGAGGCGAGATACTGAGGAGAGACAGAAAGAGACGGACTCACAACTTTAATTCCATCCAGAGACACTGAAACAGCAAATGAATCAGTTCATTAGTGATAATGTGTAATAAATGTGCCTGAATTACTCCAGTGAACAACAGTTTTCAGCTTCACGCCATCGTCCTATTACAGCCACACTGAAACTCTCACTTATAAAAAGGCAAAAAAAGACATTAACCTGGCGAGTCATTGCTCTTCAGGTGAGTTTAAATAGTGTCCACACATGATTTTAAGCTAATGTCTTACGTTTTATATAGTACGATCAATTATAGGATGAAACAAGTAAAACTGTTAACGCTAAATGGGACAACTACGCCACCTGCTGTTGTTAATGTGCACCAGCAGTAATAGCAAAGGGTTATTTGTTACTAATGCAGATGTGTTGTTACCACGAGCCTGACCAGCAGCGGGAGATTGATGAACAGCGTGCTGTGTTTTTTCAGTATATTAATTCAAATGTCTGTTTGGATAGAAAACTGCAAATCAACTGATTGTTCCTCGACAGAGATTCTGCAGAGTGCACCAAAGACTTTTAAAGACCTTTTTAATAACATAAAATACAACCGATTTAACTTATTATTTACTTTTTAATCACTTCAATAAGTTTCTTATTTGTGTTTCTTGGTAGAGAGGATTTAATTGTAGCAAATGTTGGAAGTATGGAAGGCAAATTAAAATATTCCAGACATTTGTAAATTAAATTATATATTATTATAATACTCTGCTTATGTTAAACTTATTTTTAATTAAAAACTAGAGAACAGTTTTGTGGTGTAAAAGATAAAGTTGGCAGTGTTCAAAGAGCTCACAGTCCCACCCACAGAGCTTATCGTTCACACACAGACTCTGAGGGAAGGGACTGGATCACGAGCTAGATAACTGCTGCTCGGCTGGTTAAAGCCTCAATAAATACTATATAAAAACACATTTACACAGATAATTATAGAGATTGATCTGTAAAGCTGATCCTAATAAATAAAAAATACAGACCTGTTCCAAATTTCACTGATATAAATTAATTTAAAATACTTTAAAATGTTTTAGGGCCAAATGTTCCTTATACGATGGTTCTTTGTGTTTTAATAGCTTTATGTCTTAATAGTCTTACCAGGAGGGCATCGAAGGTGAGCTGGACATTTTTGGTCTGCCTGAGGTCGATGTAGTTCATCAGCAACGACCGGGTGTCCAGCTGCATGAAGACGGCAAGCAACTGCAGAGGAGAGAGGCATTATTGGATTTCTAGTTGATATATGAAGACGAAGGTTTGAGTAAAACCTAAAAGGTTTAAAGATGGAGAGGAACTTTAGTTTAACTTCAGCATCTCATACAGTGAAGTACAGTGTTGGTACATTTCACATTTTAATGTGTCAGTTTGTTTTTTATCCAATTTTAAAAGGAACACACACTGATTTTACACATCAGTGTGTGTTGGCGGGTTCAGAGGGAAACAGCCTCATGATGTAGGACCCTGAGAACACACTGCTTACTGAATATGTGATTTGCTCCATCTCATCCTTTTTGAATCCAAAGATTTCTGATGAGGAATCAGTTTTCAGCCACTGTGACTGTGACTTTATACTTTATGGATAATAGGATGTGTAACCCTTCCTTCAAAACCTTCTGGATTAAACCAAGAAGAAATACCTTTGGATTTATTTTCTATGTCATGACAGATGTTCATATTAATAAGTTGTTGTTTGTGACCTTGGAGAGAAGAATTTCAGGGTTGTTTGTTTAAATGATTTGAGTTCATGGACACAGTTTATTTGTATTATTTGAATCCGTAAAGAGCCGGTCGTGGTGCTCACCTCCTGGTAATCTCCGAGCGGCGTCAGGTACTGCAGGATGAGCCTCTGCTCCATGGCCGAGCTCAGCGGCTGCAGGCTGTAGTCAGAGCCGATCACCATCGAGCTCATCTCAGACCAGGAGGTGCTGTTGGCCGGCTGGTCGCCTGAATCGTTCCTCTCCTCCTCTTCCTCAGTCCTGCAGGAGGAGGAGATGAAGTTGAGTTTCTGCTTGGCCTTCCTCCCATTCTCCTTTACTGCCTGTCTCTTCCCTCCTCCTCCTCTTCCTCCCTGCCTGTCAGAGTCAGAGTCCCTGGAGGCAGGGTCGGGGCTGGCCTGGTAAACAAAGTCTGGAAGCAGTCGGGTTGAGCTTTGTCCACCGCCGCCATTTTTCAGGGCCGAGGCGAGCTGCGACGGAGGTTTGGAATTGGCCGTTGACGCCGACCTCTCTCCTTCCTCTTCCACATCTTCCCCCACCTTCTTGTCTTGCTGGTCTGTTGAGATGTTCGAGGTTTGGGTTGCTTCAACCTGAGAGTCCTGAGGTAGATTCTGGGGCGTCGAGGCGGGACTAACGCGATTCTTGGCCTCTTCAGTTTGCAGCTCGTGCAGGCGCCGAATCATGATCGGTACCTGGAGGTTCGGAGGAAACGAAGGGATGTTATATGAAACAAGTTCTCCATCATTAAATCTGATTGGTGGTTTACAGAGCAGATAACTAACGTATGCTGTAAAAGGAAAAAAAACATTTTTTTACTTTAATTTAAGTTGGAGTTTCTCTACAAAAGCTTTTTACTTTGAGTAAACAGGTTTAGAAAAAGGTGGGGTAGCAGCGTGAATGACAGGATGTTTGTGTGTTTACGTGTTTGTGTGTTTACGTGTTTGTGTGTTTACGTGAGACCCACCAGCTGAGCGTTCTCCTCTCGGTAGCTGGCCGCCACTTCCTGGTTGCTCATGGCTCTGGCCAGCAGGCCCGTGGCGTAGACGCACAGCGGTCGCTCTGCTTCACGAGCCCAGGTGAACAACTTCTCGACCAGACCTTCCTGTCTCACACACACACACACACACACACACACACACACGTAATAAAAGATAGTTAAGAGGCTTCAGTAACATCAACCGCTGCTATTTAGCATTTATAAGCAAGCAAGATTAAAGTGTTATCTAAACATCTCTACCACCTCTAACTGAAAATAAACTTAAAATGCATTAATATGTTAAAATGAAACTCATTTGTTTGGGACTTGGTCATCATGATCTGAGACATGCTGCAAACATCCTCACTCCATCTGTTTTACTTTTTATAAAATCTCCCTTCACTGAGCATCATCTAATGAAGCTGAGCTCTCTGATGAAGTCTAGGATTTATCTCAGTAAGTTGTACCTTCTCTTGGAAGACGACGGCGGTCTCCAGGCCCGGCATGATGTTCTGCAGCAGGCGGCAGGCTGCTGTGTTGAGGTTCAGCTCTCTGCTGGTCATTACATACGTGTCCAACAGCTGGAAAACAAACACAGAAACAATCAGTCAGTTTGTCCATCTATACAAAATGAATCAGTTCGACTATCTTTGTCATTTTCAAGCAAAATAATCTGGTTCCAGTTTATAAAATGTGGAGATTTGCTGCTTTTGACATCAATAAAACTAATAATTAATTGTGGGAGAGAGTTTTTCTTCCTTTGTGGTTTAAAGTTATTTATAATAAAATCCTTGTCGTTTGGATTTAAGAAAGTTTTCCTTGATTGTTTCTCCCTGATTTATTTTCATGATTACTCTCCTCATCTCGTGGACACTGTGTCAGAGTGAGGACGACGTGCACGCAGCCTTCACAAACCACATCACACGATTCATCAATAACACATTCAGCCATCCTCACCGCATTAGTGAAGTCATCGTTCATAAACAGCATCTTCAGGAGCTGTCCCAGCATGCAGTCTGGGTCGGCCCGTCCTGAAAAAAGTCAGAAAGTCAACAACCAATCACAAAGACGGAAGCTTCAGTTCAGAAAAACCCTCGTCCTGACATTTACAGACGAACAGCGAAGAGACAGAACTGGTATAAAAGTGGAGACGGTAACCTGGGTGACGGTCATCAAACGGATCTGGATCTGCTTTGTGATATTCTCCCGTCTCCCGCTCAATCAGCTCAGATATTCTGCAGAACACACAAAGAAGAGACACATTCAGTCCGACTCCATCGGAAAACCATTACAGCTTCTCAAATAAAACCAATCCCTGCTGACTTGGTGAGGATGGACACCAGCTGCTCTGTGGTGCCTTGCTGTGCTTCTTCCCACTCGTCCAACAGCGCGGCGAGATCCGCCTTGGAGTCCACCGCCGTGGCCACCGCCAGAGCAGCTGACACGGCG